GGAGGACACCCAAGTTGCGCGCCCTCTCTGAGGGGGCCAAAGTTTCGCCCCCTATAGACAGCGATGGAATCAGCTGACTATGCCGGGGCGCCGGCAACCACAGCCACTCGGTCTTGGAAGGGTTGAGTCTGAGTCTGTTCCTCCCCATCCAGACCCGTACGGCCTCCAGGCAGCGGGTCATCACGTCAAGGGCATCGTTAAATAAATATTATATTCTACAGAAATATATTAAATAAATATTATATTCTACTAGGTACTATAACTGAGAAAAAGAATTATCTAAATTTATTTTATAAAATTAACAGATCAGATATACTTACAAATACTAACCTAGTTGATGTATTACATTAAGGTATCATTTACTGAATAAGCCACAAGTAGCTGAGTTTATACAACATGCTAAGCCATAAAATATTTGTTTTTTAAAATCATTTTTAAGCTATACAAAATGTGTTTTATAAAATACGGCTTAAAATGCAGTACTGAAGCTAATTTCAGTAGTATTAAGCCATAATATGTAAATTGTAGCTTATTGTACTGTTTCAATCCAGTCTCCGTGTATGTCACATTGGAGATGATTTAGTAAAATTCCAGAGTTTTCCTGAAACAATTTTCTTCTCATCCAATTTTGTTTCTATCAGTACATAAGTTATTGTTACTGGAAGACGGTGACTGCATTGATATTTATATGACTGAAATGGTGAGAAGTAGTCATAAAACACATGAAGAATGAAGAATCTTTTATTATAATTTTATTTATTTACTAGCTGTACCCGGCCACGCGTTGCTGTGGCTCTCGTTCACTCAGCCAACAGATGGCACTGTTTTTCAAAAAAAGCATGTTTTTACCTGTCACAGGTGTGACATCTATATAATAGTAGGTATATAAAAACACGCGCATATTCGAATGCAACGTTGTGTCAAAATTTCAAAGCAATCGGTGAAGAACTTTCGGAGATTTAAGATTTTGAACAAATGAACATTTACATTTTTATTTATATAGATTATTAGAGTATAAAATACAAATGAAAATGAGAATAGTGGAAAAAAGGGAAAGAGAAGTGTAGAATGAAGGGGGAAATAGAAAAAAACCATTAATTTCATACTCTTTTCAGCGCAGTAGAATGAACATAATAACGTTACAGCCTCAGTTTTTTACTTTACATACTCAGTATACAGTAGCCATTTCTATAACAAAAAACCTCGAACACAAAATCTCAATAAAGGAGAATATTTTTTGCTCAAGATTGAAATAAGGGCTCCTTGGTCCTCTCTGAAGAAAACAACCAAGTTCAGAGAGCACTAAGGACCAAGACTTGTGGACTTGCAGACATTTCATCAGCCAAACTAGGTTTGGATAATGAAAAACATCTGCAAGAAAACAACCAAGCTCAGAGAGCACCAAGGACCTCTCACAAAATCCTGAAGCACTTTCCAGATAGATACAAAATTAGATGTATTCTTGATTTAAGCAGTTAATTTTCCCATCTCCACTAGTTTCATCAGTTTTTCCAACCATTCTTCCATTGTAGGGATTAATATATCTCTCCATTTTCATGCATAAAGCATTCTCGCTGCTGTAAACATGTAGAACAAGGTTCAGATACAGAAGATTCTTCAAATGAATATGCAAATTAAACCAGAGACTTTTCTTCTAGGTTTAATGGACAAAGAACTTGAAAAAAAAAGTGAGGAGTGAAAAATCAATTAATCTAGCTTTAAAATTGTTTAGAGCAAAAGTTTTAAAACTCATTGCAAAATGAAAAATGAAATTTTAACCAGGTATTTTGGTGAAGGAGAAGTAATTTATTGGATGTAAGATGAAAAGCTGTGAAAGTAAACATCAGTCTCATCTTAGACACATGTCACTGATTGATGTTTTCTCTGCACATCTGCCTAGAGGTAAAGTCTTTGAAATAGCATAGTAGGTATTTTGTCTAAGGGAAAGAACACTTTGTTTCATTGTTGCTTTTTTGATACCAGGCTATGTCTTTATTTTCAATCAAAGGAAAAACAATAAATCAGAATAATTGTTTTGCCCTGTGGCATTTCTGTTTGTAAAGGGAAGAAAAATAATGTAGAACCTTCAAATTAACTTTCATTTGAACTAGGTAAAAAGTCTAAAAAATTACTTGCATCCCAATATAGCATTTTATTAATCATGTCACCACCCTATGAAAAGCTGGTCTATTACTTTTATGTGCAGTATATGTTTTCATTTAAAAATATTTTTAATATTAATGAGTAGAAAGTCATCACTATCATAAAAAATCATATACACTATTAAAACAGCAAGTTTTTAAGGAGATGTTATTTTTCTTTAGTTAAAAAGAAACTGACTTAATTATTAGCTATACCAGGCATATCAAACTTGTGATGTCATGTGACGTATCGGAGCTTTTTCGCCATTGCCGGCAATGGGGTGGGCGCGGCTCCGGTATGATGAAACCGGCCTGCGGGCCGGCAGTTTGACACCCCTGAGCTATACAATAAAAGAGAATAGGCAAATCTGAAAATTATGAAACGCCTGCTGTCAAGGGAACGCTGGGAGTTGAAATCCACACATCTTGAAATGACCAAGTTTCAAAACCACTGTCCTTAGCTCTTGTCCTGTTAGAATAATCCTGACTTCTGGGACTAATATGAGTTTGAACCTTTCTGCGGCAATGCTGTTATCTTTGTCCTTGATTGCTCTTTGATACGTGCCTTGTGTTGTTATTTTGTTATGCTGAATCTGTTTTTAATAATACAATAGGTAGATAGATGTATAGACAGGCATATAGCCAGTCATCTTAGAGATGTGACTATGGACAACACACAACAAAATACAGTTAAAAATAAATACATAGGAGCATAAGCCACTCAACATCATATATGTTTTTGAAGCAGTTTGTAGGTTTTAGTAAATAAATTAAACTCTGTGAGAAAGAGAATGTATGTGACAGAAATTATTAAGGCAGTATAAATGCTTCTAGGAACTTGAGTGAAGATTTTGACAATGGTATAACTGGCTTATGCAGACAATGCAGCTGTCTTTCCACAGATGGAAGTCAGCTTTGGGAGACCTCTGAAAGTCCTTGCATTATGCTACAAGAACAAGTATTTTATTATAAACTATATAAAATAATGTTTTTACATAGTTAAAGTTAAATGCAGGGACACTGCGACAGATGTAAGTGCAAGGGCCAGTTACTTTTTCAGTATTATAACTTCAAATGGTTGCTAAAGAGTGCAATCATTGAGTGAAGACAACCTGTATAGCAGACAGCACTGTTGTATGGATCAGAGTTTCTTTGATGATAGTAGAGCTGCTGCTATTATAGACCAATAGTTTTGGCGCAAATATATGTGTTGTTCCTGGAGCAATTCTGACTTAGAATGGAGTCAAGGAGAAAATTCAGTAAGGTTGGAAAAGGAGGACTGCAACAGGAACACAGTCAAAATTCCAGGATGTATCAAAAAACAGTGAAATTCACCAACTTGTCTTAAACTTTGCTGAGTTTTTATCAGAGCTTGTTTTAGTGCTCTCCATTTAACAGTTCTAGAGGAAATATTTACTAATACTGCAACCATGCAGAAGTTAGGTCCTTGTGAATTTGGGGGAAATGGGGCCAATTGAAAAAACGATTTTAACAGGTAAATTAAAGTGATCTCCAGTTGAGACTATTGTAGGCCCTACTAATAAAGATGCCCAGTCACCTTCATGATTTTATATTTATCCCCTTTTGTGGACAAAATCCTGAAGATGAGATACAGAATTATCAGATACTGCTTTCTAGTTTCAGCAGTTTGCCCCCTTATGTTAACTTTGGGAGGTAGGACTAATGCATATGACAATTGTAGCATTCTTATTTGGAATTTATTGGGAGTGTTTTATGTAGGTATACCTAGTCTAAGACAATAATAAGCTTTTCTTCCTTCCTTATTATACTGTATATTAAATCCCTTGATCAAACTGGCATTTTTTGAGGTATCATCTTGTCAGCGTTATCATTTTGGGGGGTCTTGGTTTGCACTTATGTACCGCCACCAAATTTGATTTGTTTTTGTTCTTTTTTTGGTGCAGTGTCTATGATCTTGACAGAAATATGCTACGCAGAAAAGAATGGGAAAGGAGAAATCAGGAGACCCAGCATGAAGATCACATATTTAATGCCAGTTATTCTCTCTTCAGTGAACCATACAAGGTATGCACTGTATACTTTATCTATATCCTTCCCATCTGTTAGATTGACTTGTTTATGAAATAGTGAAATAGATTAGATATAACTTTTATAAGGCAAAGGAGTTTAATATTTGCCCATTTTTGTTCATTGTGCCTTCCAAGTTGCATTGGTTCATCTGCTTCATCAGTTCCAAATGTTATGCAGTTTTCTGTGACCTAAAATCATTTCAACTCCTTTTGCCTAGGTAAAGGTTCCTAAATATTTCTATCAAGATCACCTTCCTTGCCCCCTGCATCAATCCTTGAATGGATTAAGATTGACAGCATCTCACTGATCTCATGGTTAATTTTTTAAAAAATTACTAATTAATTTGTTGCCATCCATCTTACAAAGCCACTTGTGAGAATGACTGCTCTCTTAATTCTTTTGAACAGTGTAATTCAGAATCAAATAATTTGATCCAGTAAAACCAACTGCATTAATTATTTTATGTTCTTACTTTAATTGATCTGTAGAAATATGTTATTGTAGATAAGTTTCTATAGTTTCACATAATGAACTGACTTCATAAAGCATGCATTTATGATGATGATTAGTTAAGTTTAGGTGCATGTTATTTGGAATAGAAGAACATTAGGGCAGCATTATATTTAGCTACAGGTACTCCTCAACTTACAACCATACTTGGGACCAGAATTTAAACAAATTAAATTGTTGATTGTTAAACAAATCCACCTTCACCAGTTGACTTTGCTTGTCAGAAGCTAGCCGCAAATGTCGTGAGTGTAAGACACTGCAACCATTGTAAATGTGAGCCATTTACCAAGAATCCAAATTGTAATCATCTGCTCATGGGGGTGTTGCCACAATTGCAATTTTGAAAACAGATTGTAAATCACTTTTTCTGAGGCCACCATGTCTTCAAACCATTAAATGAGTGGTCATAAATTGAGAACTACCTGTACATTTAAAAAAATAAGCTGTTTTAAAATGAGATTACACTTGTATAGTACCTAGTCAATATCTTTCCTCTCCTTTTAAGGTAAACCTTTCAGATAAGTTGACAAACTATGCAGATTCAATCTGGTCATACAGAGAGCTAAATGTTAACCTGTTTTTCAGGAACCTAACATCATTCTTGTTTTTTGCAGGATTATGTTATCATGCACCGCACATTTTTATTCAGGATAGGTTATTGTTTATTCATGTACTTTTGCATGGAATAATGAAATGTTTTCCTTAACCAAATAAGACAAGCATACCTTGGTCCTTACACTGCTTTGAATCTGTATTTGCCTATGCCTTGATCTCATCCCACAGTGCTAATTAATGCTATGAGCACAACTTCTTGTTTCCTTTTCTCCTATAGCAGGGGTGTCAAACTCGCAACGTCACATGACGTGTCATGACGTATTGCAACTTTTTTGCCATTGCCAGCAATGGGGTGGGTGCGGTTTCACTACGATGCATCTGGCCCGCAGGCTGGCAGTTTGACACCCCTGTCCTATAGTTTCCTATATCACAGCAATAGAAACTGCTTCTTAAGAGGTATTATACAGAGCTAATAGGCGGTTAAAGACACTGAGCTTGTCAGCTGGAAAGCTGACAGCACAGGTTCCAGATCCGAGTGCTATGCAACGAGGTGACCTCCCGTTACTTGCCCCAGCTCCTGCCCATCTAGCAGTTTCCATGCAAATGCGAGTAAATAAAGAAATACCTTTTCGGTGAGAAGGTAACAGCATTCCGTGTGTCTTAGTGTATAGCACATGACCACAGAAGTGTCTTTGGATAATGCTGGCTCCCTCAGTTAAGAAATGGAGTTGAGCACCGCCCCCTAGAGTCAGATATAACTGGACAGGGGAAACCTTTGCCTTTACCCTTAGCTAAAAAAGGCATCTATAAAATAGGCAAGTCAGTAAGGATGCTGTTTCATTACTTATGTAATAAATACTTAACTACTTATATATTTATAGTATATTTCTTTCTTTCTTTCTTGAATAATGAAGAATTACAAAGAAACATATTTACCTGAGCTAGGGTTCCTTTGAACTGGAAAGTTACATTATGTTTTCAGAACATATATAATTAATCTGCATTGTGGGTTGCACAATATCTTGAAACATAAATTAACCAAAATAGCTGAATTTGCAGAACATCTAAAAAGAAAAAGTCACAGATTGTGCAGACATACAGATTGTAGGTATTTAACTAATCTGAATAACTATATAGTGTGATTGCTGTTATATTGTTTTATAGAGTTTGAATTTATTTACAAATACATAAATACTATGAGTTTGTAGGGCAATAGATCTATGTGACTTACTTAACCTTTGCTATATGTTCCCTGTCTAATGCTTACCCACATTCAGAATAAATAGAATTATTAGATAAACAATAACATTTATTTTTTAAATCATCAATCCTACACTACAAAATTACTGCACATTCATGATTTTCAGTGATTTTATTTCTTGACTTTTTATTTATTTTGATTATTTCCTTTACAGACAAATAAGGGGGATGAACTGTCTAGTCGTATCCAGAATACACTGGGTAACTATGATGAAATGAAAGAATTGTTGACCGATCACTCCAATCAAAGCCAGCTTGTTGGTGTTCAAAAGGTCTGTATGTCACAAGGATCTATGAACAAAATGGAGGAGCACTTTGCTGCTGAAACAATGACTCATACTCAGACTTCTATTTGCAGTCCTCAGTCTTTACCAGTGACACTGTCTGGACAGCTAAACAAGAATGCAATGGGTTGGCAGAAACCTGGGCGTTCCTTAGAGAATCAGCAGAGGGGAGGCAAACATAGGCATGGACTGCCAGATTCACAGAGTAATGATTTCAAAATAGCTAACCAAAAGAGCAGCTTGGAAAAGATTACGTATTACGTACACAGTCCTTCACCACCATCTTCATCCGGTACTATTCAAGGTCCTTTATCATCCTTATTTATAGAGAACATTCAAACACAACAGTCAAAGTTGAGCTGTGCCACAGAGACTGGAGTCCAGGTTCAAGAAAGACCAGCTATGCATAGCAATGGACACTGTGTACAAAATTTTCATCTTGCACTTGCTTTAAAACCAAATATAATTCAGCAGAAACCAACAGCTTATGTGAGACCAATGGATGGTCAAGATCAGGCTCCTGATAAATCTCCAAGATTAAAGGTGCCGGATGAAACCAGCATGCTCTGCACCTCATACAGAAAGATGTCTTCTGTTAAAAATGAATCGGCTAGGATCAAGTCAAAAGTAACAAAGTGTGGCATGTCCAAACAAGAAGAGGTAAGTTTAATGATGATGCACCTTTCATAACAAACCAATAAAGAATCACTTTTCAAATATTTAGAGTGATATTCCATGTAATAATAATAATAATAATAATAATAATAATAATAATAATGATGATGATGATGATGATGATGATGATGATGATGATGATGATGATGATGTTGGAAGGGACCTTGGAGGTCATCTAGTCCAACTCCCCTGCTCAGGCAGGAAACCTTATACCATTTCGGACAAATGGCTGTCCAGTCTCTTCTTAAAAACTTCCAGTGTTGGAGCATGTAGCCTTTTACTTTCAGGAAGAATGTTTTGAATTGCATTTCCAGTGTTTTACGACTCAAACTGTAAGTGGCAAACGTACGCTGTAGTCAATATTTTGATATAATAGAACTCAATTTATTGCTTAGTAATGAGATGACTTCATTCAATATGTGCTTTCAACTGTTAATATTGTTCAGCTATTCATATTTCTGTGAAAAGATGTCTCTGATTTGACAACTCCTTTCAAAAGTTTCTGGTAAATGACTTTTAGTGAATTGATTTTTTTTAAAAAATGGAAGTACTGTATATAGAGCTAGCAAGGATTTACATTAGAAATGGGTAATATCTTCCTATTTGAGGACTTCCCTTGGCCTTGGAATAGATTGCTGGGAGTTCACTGCTGAAAGAAGCAATAGGAAAGAGCAAAATATGAAATGAGCTAGGCAGGTCTTTTTTTTTTGTCATAGATCGCCCAGAACAGAGTTCCGGCACCTTTTTTGGATGGAACCTTGTAGGGTAGGCAAGGCGGGTTGTATGACATGTGTGAGTTCCGGCACCTTTTTTTTTTTTTTAACAAAAAAAGCATTGGAGCTAGGTAAAAATTAGGTTAATTTTTAAAAATTCTTTTCTCCAAAGAATACTTCTAAATTGAATGAAATCACACAGCCAAAATGCATCATCAAATGTTATGACACTATTCAAGGATATTCTAGGAAGCACAAAGTCTTACTGGCAAATGCAGATTACTCTGCCAGGCAGCTATGATGAAAATAGCAAGTTAAAAATTATTTGCTGGTCTTTTTCAGAAGCCAGATATCCAGACAGCTTGGTCTGGAGAAATTCTACATAGTAAGGATAGTATTAAGCTATGGTCTTTCTACTCATAGCGTATGTATATCCTTTTAGGTGTTGTACGCAATGTATGCATATACAAGTATTGCAAACAGTATTCTCCAAGCCTATAATCTATTATTTTTTATTTCTATAGTTAAAGTTCTGTTGTTGCCACAATTTAGCATGGCAAACACAACCTGTGATTGCTCAATACCCTTATTTATTCTAAGTACATTTGCTAAGGCATTAGCTGTAGTTTCTAGTTTCCTAGGTTTAAGCATGTTGAGTCATCATAATATTGCTTTAAATATAATCTTAAATAGTAAACTTTTAAAAATATAGTTATTTCTGCACTAAGTTATTTCTTTTATCTCCAGAACCTGATATGTCTTCAGTTCATGAAATTGACTTCAGTACAGTGAATCACAGAAAATACATTTGAATACAAGTCACAGGATATTATTTTTAAATTTGCAGGAAAGGTTGATTTCCTCTACAGATCTATCTTGTATTTAATATTGTTAATCAGTTTTAGAAGGTTCTTGGTAGCGTGACATAAAATTAATCATAACAATTTCCAAAATTTAATGTAATGAAATATATTTATATATTAAATATCGTAAGTATATTTCATTAAATTAATTTTTGAGATGTTCATTCAAGATTTGATTTTTTGAGTCATTTTCATCATATTAATCAGAATGCATACTCAAATATCTTCCACCTTTCAAAAATTATCCTACTTCTCAGTATAAGTTATAGTCTCTCAACTCAAGTGTTACTGTTTCTCATGTAGAATTTTACTATAAGCAGCTTACAAAATATATTATTAGAATGATGTACCAAATAAGGGGGGAAAAGATAATAAAGAAAAACTGCTTTCTAGTATTTTTCTTTAAAATTATTTGCTGTTAGCACATTTGTTCCCATTTATCTCCAACTTCTAATTTATACAGTTATAGATAGAATAACAAGCCAAGAATCAAGGTTTGGAGTAAAAAAAATCAGATTATGACAAGAAATATGCATTGTCACAGGATATGTCAAAAGATCCCTTGGATAATATGAAGGTACTCAGATACCTTGAAAGAGTTGCATCTTTTCCCAGGATTGTGTGAGTGTTCTTTGCAGCTGCAGTGCAGTCCAAGAAAAAAACCCACTTATTGTACCTGTACATGTATCCTTCAGATACAACTCAGAACAGATTTGCCTTCAAATCTGAAGTTAAAATGTGCTTGTTGAAATGGACAGCCATGTAAATTGAAGAAACAAGCAAACCAATATTTAAATCTAAAGCAGTAATTTAAAGCTTAAAAAGCTGAGTAGTATGCAGTTAGAAATTGTAGCATATAAGGACACTTTTTGTGATTTCACCAACTTCCACACCTTAGTTTGGTGTAAACTGTCATTTTTTGAAATGACTAAAAAGTTATACCATGTTTCGTAAGAACATTATATTGTGATTAAGTTAGTTGGTACTTTGGGGGATTCTGAACTATTGTGTCAGGTTAAATTATACTATATTGGGATCAAATGATTGACTATTTAAAGCTGCAGCTTAATTATTCTAGATCAGGGGTGTCAAACTGCCGGCCCATGGGCCGGATGCATCATAGCGAAACCGTGCCCACCCCATTGCCGGTAATGGCAGAAAAGTTGCGATACGTCGCGAGATGTCACGTGACGTTGCGAGTTTGACACCCCTGTTCTAGATTTATATTAGTAGGATCAAGGAGCTTATGAATGAAATGATGGATCCTAGAATTATAAAAAATAAAGGTACTAATAAAGAAGGGGAATGAGAAATTGTACATTATATGAAAAGCTCCGTCAGGTTACTCACTGAAATACATATCCTTTGTGTCAGAGATTTTCTTGTCAGCATGTTATTTTCTGCACTCTCTCTGTGTGTGTTTTCTGACTGCTTTTGGTTGCTTTTTTACTCCACAAAGCCCAGCCTGGTCCAGCAGCTAAGCCTGGTCAGTAGTTGAGTCAAGAAGATAGTGAAGGTCAGTGGCAGCAGGGCAGCAAAGGGCCAAAAGGTCATAGATGGGGCAGAGAGGCATGCGGGGGAAGTTAAAATACCCCGTAAACATAAATGTGGACAGGCTGCTAAGCACCCAAATTTTGATTACGTGACCAAGGGGTCACTGCAAGGGCTGTAACTCTGTGCACAGGTTGTCCATTCAGCACTGTCATGTTTTTGAACTGTTGTTCAATGAATGGTGGTAAGACGAGGACTATCTATACTTATTTCCATTAAGTTCTTTGCAATTATTGGATCAATATATAGTAAAAAAAATTGTTTCTTGATTTATGAGCAGTTAAATATATTTGCCCTACTGGGACTTAGATTAGATTTTGATGCCAATGTAATAAATTCTTTGTGGAATTCTACTTTAAAAATAGGTGATGAGATGTTGGAAAAGTTGGGCAGAGTCTGGAGTAGTTGCTTTAAATCAATTATTTTGTAATAATTATTTTAAGGAATTTCAGTGACTTAAGACTTAATTTTTTAAATCTAATATGCAACAGTGGTGTGACTAACCAACTCAAACACATGTTTATAAGTCAACATGGAACTTGATCAAAAAAAAAGCGTGATATTCTTTCATTTTTGATAATCTATTTTTGAAATAAAATTTAATTTGTATCTGTATCAGAAATTTGAAAACATCTTAAAAATTGAAATTAGTGGCATTTATGGAATAAAGTGTTGGAATAGCCATGAAAGAACATAAATGGATGCAGGTCTTTAAAAATATTGTTTCTTTGGATTTAAGATTGAAATTAATTCACCAAAAGATTTTATTCCAAGTTTATTGAGTGGTTTAGAGAATGCATCAGAAAAGATGGAACAGATATTTTCTTTGTAGGTGATATAAGAAATTCAAGCATACATTACATTAACATTAATTCCTCTGATTTGGTACAGTTTTTTATTGTTTACTTTTTGGAATAAGTAGATTTATGGGTAAATGTTTTCATGGTAGAGATGTGAATTCTATTTTAAATTGTATTTCAAAATCATGGAATTTGACGATTTTTAAGGATTTTTTTGTTACATCAGTCACTACTATAAACTACTATAAACTTCAAGGACTGTTTTAATAAAACATGTAATTTATCATTTTTTAAAAAGGCACTTCACTTCTGCTAATCCAAAAACTATACAAAATGTTTCCCTTTGCTGAAGATTTCATAATATTTTGCAAGAAAAGACAAATCCTTAGGTGTAATTTGGTGTATAATTATTAAATGTATGTAATATAGTCAGGTGATTTATATCAATTAATATATTAATATTCATCTTTGATTTTGTTTTACTTGTCAATATAATTTAACAATTAATTAATTAGATTATCTGTTGAACAGCTGTATATTATCTTTTGGAATCTGTTTTTGTTCATTGTTCTGTACTTTTTTAAAAAATTCAATTAAATATTCTTCATGATAATTGTTGTAAAACTAATGGCAAATATAGAATATAAAAATAGTTGAACCAAGTACAAATATAATCAGTCATTTAGATTGTTATAATTCAATGTGAAAATATATTTTGATAATTAATTTTCTATACAAATTCATTATTTCATTTGATCACCCAGTGAATTAGGGTCTTTTAAGTAACCACATTTAACTAGATATTAAAAATAGTGATAATGGCTTATCATTTTTTAACCTCAGTCATATTTTTCTAGTTAAGGGAGAAATCAGAACACTGGTTAGGTCCAGTTGTTAAGGCACCAGGCTTAGAAAAACTAGGAGAAAGGACTACTAGATATGTTTGCTGCCTTGAATTATTTATATAAATAATAAATGTGGGATAAAAAAAACCTTTTAAAAAATCAGAAGTAGGCATGCTTGATTTGAACCATTACCTTAATTAAAATGTATATTAA